TGTAAGTGTTCCAAACCTGGAATTCCTATCAACAAGAACACTGCTGGATGGGTTGAGGTGATATTGGAGGCTGACATGGCTTCTGGATATTCTCTTTGTCAGTTTTTATGGGGCCCCTTCACCTTCTATATAGGCTTTCTTGGGAAGATCAGCTCTTGTTCTCATTACTAGACCTTAAAACTAGTTAGTAGGTCTCATAGACATTGGGAAGCATAATCCATGTTTTCCCTCAAGAACTTTGAATCTCATCGAGTAGTCGGAATATTAAAAATTATTAGAACTGACATCACAGGACAATTTTCATAAAGGAAGAGTGAGAAGATAGTGTTTTCTGTGTTCATGGTGATGCCAGGAATACCCTGTTAAAAGAAGTGAAAATATGTTTAAACCAATTCATTACTTTAGAACATACATTGGTACAATTCTACATGATAATCAAACTAAGCTCATAGTCACAAAAGCCAAGTTTCTGTCCTTAAATCTTTGGCTTTGGTGCCTGTAGAAGTTGAATAAAACCTGTAATTTCTATTGTTCCTATTAAACACATAATCTAATGCTCCTCTAACCTTACACTGTCTGATACTGTTGCCACTAGCCACATGGGGCAATTTAAATTTTTATTAAAATAAAAAATTCAATACTTCAGTTACACAAAACATTTTGTAAGTGCCCAATAGCCATATGTAACTAGTGCTACCATATGGACCATTAAGATACAGAATATTTCCATCATTGCAGAAAGTTTTACTGGAGAGAGAGCTGCTCTAGGATATATCTTTCAAGTCCTTTCCACATTCACAAATATCTGCAAGTACAGCCCTGCCTCCAGCTTACCGGAAAAATGAGGAGACTCCTCTTTTGGTTCTCCTCCATCTAAACTCATGTTAACCTCCCTATTCATGTGGTTGTCCCCGCATCCACCTCCTAGCTCCTTCATTTTCATCACAGTAGAACCCTCTCATCTTTAGCACAAGACTGATATCTGACTTCTATAATAACTGCTCTTTATTCTTAATATTTACTCTTTTTCTCTTGTTCATTTTTTCTCTTTCAAATCCTTAAATATTGAGTTATCCAATTTTTATGCAGCCACTTTTCTAGAATCCAGTTAATGTATCTTTTCTGAGCATTAAAAAGGATAATGTATTGAAAACATTTACCATATCACTGAACAAAGTAAGTACTAAAGAAACTTGGTCTCTTCAACATAAGAAAGTTTTTGGAAATCTAATATCTAAGATATAGTTTATAGTGCTAAGCAGCTGAGTTTGAGTCCTACCTTTCTTCAATTACAGTGTCCTAAATAACTAGACTTTATTGCTCCCATCTAAATGCCTTATTTTTAAATTAAATTTATTGGAGTGACATTGGTTAATAAATATAGGTTTCAATGTACAATTCTATAACATATTTGTATATCACATTGTGCGTTTACCACCCAACATTAAATTTCCTTCCCTCACTGTATTTTGACCCTTTACCCTTATCTATCTCTCCCTTCCTCCCTTCCCTCTGATAATCACTAAACTCTTGTTCAGGTCTACAAGTCTGTTTGCTTATCTTGTTTCTTTGTTGGTTTTAGATTTACATTTCACATGCAAATGAAATTTATATAGTTCTCAACTTTTTCTACCTGACTTATTTTGCTTAGCATGATCATCTCGAGATCCATCTATGTTGTCACAAATAGCAGTATTTCATCTTATGGCTGAGAAATATTCCATTGTGTGTGTGTATGTATATATATGTACCACAACCTCTTTATCCAATCATCTGTTGAAGGACACTTTGGTTGTCTCCATGCCTTAGCCATAGCGAATCAACACACATTCCACATATCCTAATCAAAAACAAATGAATTACTTTCCATGCAGTATGGAAAAATTTTAGAACCTGAAGGTCTTGGATCAAATCACAGCTGCCACTTATACCAGCTGCATGACATTGCACAAATCACTTATGTCCAAGCCCCTGCATGTCTGAGTTAGGCGCAATCAGGCTATATCTGCACTCAAGTGGCTAGAACAAAAGGTGAATGAGAAGAAGTAAGAAGGGCATAAAAGATGGAACATATAGGAAATTACCCCTGTGTGAGACACTCTAAGCAAAGGGAACCGTCAAAACAAATGCCCTAAAACAAATATGACTAATGTCCAAAGACCAACTATGAGACCAATGTAGCTAGATGATATGAATGAATGAGAGATTTATAGAGGTCACAAAGATGGGGCTAGATCATATAGGGCTTTGTTGGCCCTTGTAGGAACTTTGCAAAGTCTCATTATTTCTCTCACAAACACTTTTTGAGGAAACAATGACATTCGACAAATTTGTTTTAAAGGTTTCTCTGGCTTCTATGATGAGAATAGCATGAAAGGGTAAAAGTAAAAGCAGAAAAATTACGGAGGTTATTACAGTAATCAGGAAAGGGAGAATGTTGGTTAAGAATCAGGGAGCAATGTATGTGGTGAGAAGCAATTACACTTTGGATAGATTTGAGAAGTTCTATGGGATTTTTTGACATTAAATGTAGATCATAAGAGAAAAGGCAGTCAAAGATAACACCAGAAGTTTCAGCTTAAGTAACAAAAAAAAAAGTTGCTCTCAACTTAGGATGCTGGAAGGTTTAGAGGGGGGATCAAGATTTTAATTTTGAATATGTTGCATTTGAGATGTCGATCAAAAATGAACATGTAGTTTGAGAGAGCATTTTGGTTGCTGATATAAACTTGTGATCGATCATTGGAAATACATAATATCTTTGAAACCGATTGAAATCACCGAGATAGTGAATGTTCATAAAGAAAACAGAACCAAGAACCAAATTCCAACATTAAGAACTGGGGTGGAAAAAGGCTTGGATTGAAAGAAGGAAGAGTCAGCAAAAGAGACAGAGTGAGCAACTTACTTGAAAAGTTCCCATGATACTGTGCTTTCTTGATAGGCTGTTGAATATAGTAGATTAAGGAGGAGGGAACTATTACTGTGATAAATGCTATTGATGAGACAAATAATTCCCAACCAGAATTGGCCTTGTGTTTAGAAATACAGTAGGTTGGCTACTTTGTTAAAAAAAATTTTTTTCCTGGAATAGAGGGAGACAAAGCCTGATTTAACTGAGTTAAATGAGAAAAAAAAATTGAAGTCATTTAACTAGGCTCACTCTTTTTAGTAGTCTCACAGATATCTCAACCTATCATGCTTAAGGCAGAAATCCGGACTTGTTCCGTCTTTGTGCATTCCATATCTGAGTATGTAATATCCTCTCCAAACAGTTGCTCAATCTAGAATCAAGTCATCCTTGGTTCCACCTTTTACTTCTTGCACCATATTCAATCCACCAGCAGGTTCAGTTGGGTCGACCTTCCACAGTAAATCTCAAAATTGCCAGCTCCATTTCAATCACCACAACATATATGAGACATCGTTTCTTATATACTACTAAGACAAAAGACTCCAAAAATGTGCAGATTTCTTCCTTTGCGCTATAATATCTATCTTTCCACAAATACTCACCATACTGTGAAGTGAAGAGGCTTGGAGTGAAGGAACTCTGCCTTATTCACTTCTATAAGTGCAGCGTCTAGCATACACATTAAGTATTGAATATTTCACCAAATAAAAAGCATAAACAACCAGGCTGGAAAATGTCTTCATACTATGTTCAGAAGCTCTCCCTATATGATCCAAGCCCAGAATAGTTGGTTATCTTCCAATTTAACATTCAATCAAGACAGAAGTTCTAAGAAACCCTGACCAGTCTTGGTTATATGCATCAGAATAAAATCCTCTTCTCATTGGAAAGTATTTTTTCATGTCTTACTAATATTTGCACATCTTTGTCAGGAATAAGCACTTTGGCTTTGTAGGAAACAAACTCGTGACGGCAGGAATCTTTTATTTTCACTGTTATATCTTCAGTGGCAAGAACAGTGCCAGGTACATAACAGACTGTTAATGATCTCACATACCTGTTGAACCTTCATCTGCAGAAAATATGCATCTTCCATAAAACCAAGCATATGTCACTTTACCTCTGAATCTTTACATCTCCCTGGCTTAATCTGTTCATCTTCTGAACATAACTGACCATCCTATGACCTGTCTACCCTTCCTCATACGAAGAAAAAGTTATCCGTTCTACTTAATTTCTTTCCCCAAAAAGTGTCCAACACTACATGACCCTGATTTTTGTTAAAGTTCATAAATATATCCCTCCCAGAATCATGATCTCAGAGTCAGAGAGTGAATGGAACCCAGGAACCTTTGTAGTGAATGTTTTATCCTGCCTGTACTGTTTTGAGACCAAAATGTCCACACAAGCTCATCCAATTTATCTTCTTTTTTTTTTTTTTTTTGGTTTTTTTCTCAGAAGTACTCAGTTAATACTGGCATCTATTTTGCAGTCTGCGCCTGTATTTTAAAAAGATATCAGAAAGATAATTCGAACAATTAAGACCCAGAGACAAGAAGATAGTCACCTAAGGTCCCTCAAGAATGTGAAAGAAGAACCTATAACAAATGTATTTATTACCTCTAATAAATACATTAGTTCTACCTAGTTCAGGCCTAATTTCTTCTCTCCTGACTAATGCAGAAGCCTTCTAATTTGGACAGGGGTACCGGTGGGGGTGGGAGGATAAATGACAGGAGGTGAGAAGTGACAGGACCCAACCTGGAATAATCAGCTAAGTCTTCTTGGAAGTGAACCACAGTGTTTGACATAGAAAAGAGGCAGGCATCCTCTGTAGTGGAGGAAGTTTCTGGAGTTTGTAAACAAAGCATTTGGGTTGGACTGTCAAGACTTATGCTGCCTCAAAGAAGAGTCAAAATAGAGGCAATAAAGGAATAGAGAGCGGGCAGGGAGCCGATGCCTAAGACCAGAACTGGCTGTGGGTGGTAATTGAGAGTGTCCCCATCCTCTCCCACTCACCACACCTATGTCACCTTGTTCCTGTTTCCCCTAGTCCAGCTCTGTCCACAGTGCAGTGCAGCCTTCTTCTTCCAGTGAGAGAAGCTTGGGAAGGAGGGAGCTGGGGAGGGAGCATCTGGCTTTATCTTCATAAACTTCTGCTCT